GCAGGTACTCATCATCATTCACTTGCTTCAATATTTTATCTATTGTAGGTATTTCATTCCTGAAGAAAAAGTGATGTACTTTTCTTCTAATGGCACTTTTGTCAAAGTATCTATTTTTTCGATGATATTTTTTTTTCTCGCTGGATATGTTTTTGGCTCAGATAGTGAGTGATTTTGTCTATATTCCTTCAAGATTTTGTAAACACTTGATCGACCTACTCCAGAAATTTCAGCAACCTTACATACGATATTTTCTATAGCCAATCCACTATTCTCTTGCATCTGGTTCTTGTAGATATTTAGAATAATTTGTTTTTCACCTGCGCTAAGATGAAGCTTTTTAGCCCTTTTGCTGGGTGGCGTTAAGCTGATTTCAACCACTTCATCAGCTGTATCTGTGTCAGACATTTTAGACTAATATTAAATTTCCGCAAGAAAAATCAAGTCAAGACGTACATAAAACGTTCGCGCTCATAAACGGGTATCCGTAACTGATTACAATCCTGTGCGTGGTGACGAACCATCAACGTGACGCTGAGAGTTCCCTCTACTATGCAGCGTTGCCAGGCTTAATGTCACAATGATCATGTTTTATTGGGAAAATTGTCAGAAATCGCCGAATGTTGAACAGAAACATTACAAGAAGTCTAACCTTGAAATGTGAGGCTACAAATCGATATTCTTATAGGGGGGAAGGGTAGGGAGCTGTTATGGTTCCTATTAACCTTGGTGAAAGTTGGAAACGGTAATATCATATATGGCATACATTCGGTTGAAGGTGTGTGCACGGAAAATAGATTGCGGATAGGATTTTAATAGATAAATCTGCACAAAAAAACACAAAAGGAGATTTTTGTATTTCCCTGAAGAATATCTCAAGGTTATTTCAGATGTACTCATCGAAACTTTATGGAAGGATTATCGAAACCTTATTTTCAATTGCGATAGGGCCACATACCTCGACATCGCATTAATGTGAAAAATAAGACAATAGAAAAAAATTCCCTCACTGATGCTATCTCTTAGGAAAAATTTAACTATAAAGATTGCACAAAAATTTTCTTCACCTTTTTGAGCTTGTTTTCGCATCTCCGTATATGCCGTTCATAATTTGCTGCAGATCAAATTGGAATATACCTTTGTGATGCCATTTATTGTTATATAATGTCCTTTACAACAGTTATTGCACGTATTGCACCAACAGATTGATTTGTGATCCATGCAAATGTGATCAACCACTCTGGCGAAAACTCGCCGAGCGTGGCAACCGTGCGACTTTGTCTGGAGGCTCGTCGCTACAAGCCAATCAGGAAGAGGCCGACAGAGCGCCATGGCTACCGATCACGCGTTGATCACGAATCAACCACTGTTTACGATTACTTTGTAGCTTCGTTAGATACACTTTAGAAGGTACATGCCCTCGTCCGATAAAAAAGCTCAAGACAGTATCATGGACTAATGAAGATATCCCTCTCCCTTCCGTCATTGAATGGTAAAAATCTGCTGGTCCCATGCAATAATTGTCTCCCATGCAGTTATTTGAATGTTTTTTATGCCGAAGTTATAGTTGGATACACCAATAGATATGCACTATAAAGAAATTTGGATATTGAAGTATCCTCGAGAGAAATTGAGTGTTTTTCAGGTGTCCTGACATTGATTGGGTACGTGGTTCATCCTAGGAGATTTATGTTTTGGGAAAATAGGAATGATACTCACAACGATATGGTAACTAAAGCTATGTCAAGGGACAGGTTCTCACAAATTATGAAAGTCCTCCATTTCTGCGACAATACTGATCTGGATAAATCGGACAGGTATGCAAAACTTCGTCCATTGTTTAGTTTATTGAATATGAAGTTCTTAGAGTTTGCTCTTTTGGAACAACAGCATAGCATCGATGAAGCCATGGTTCCCTATTTTGGCAAACATGGCTGTAAGCAGTTCATAAGAGGAAAACCTATAAGTTGGGGGTATATATATCTGAGTAGGAGCTCTTCGACTGGGCTATGTGATTTTGTTTTCTCCTTATCAGGGTGCATTATCAGAGGCAAAAGACAACAATAATTATAAGAATATTTATGGATTAGGCTCAAGTGTGATCCTACAGTATACAGATATCCTAAGGGACAAGTGGAGGGATGCACAATTCCACTTGTACTTTGATAACTTCTTCACTTCATTTATTGGCTGAGCTGAAACAAAGAGGCTTTTGTGCCACTGGTACTATTCGTGAAAGTCGCTCATTGAACTGTCCATTGATGAAGAAAACAGAAAGAGGATCATACGAATATCAATTAGACAAGGATACAGGAATAGTTGTGTGCCGATGGAATGACAATGACAGTCGCTTCTAATTTCAATCCAGTTCATCCTGTAGGTTTGGTAAAGCGCTATTCATAGAAAGAAAAGAAGTATATACATATACTAAGTGACATATAAATCCGAACACCCAGTTTAAATGGTTTTATTTTAGTAAAATTTTGTATAAGTACTTAATGAAGCATGATAAGTAGATGATAAAAGTTTCAAAATGATTGCACTGCTTTAAAGCCCTTTGACCTTTAATAATGTGTGGATGCACCCTGATGTGCTACGCATTCTCCAACGCGCCTAGGCATGCTTCTGATCAGGTGGTCAATGTCCTCCTGTGGTATCTCATTCCAGGCAACCACCAACTCCTCTCGAAGTTCTTCTAGAGTCTGAGGAGGACGTTGCAAATTGAGCAATCTCCTACCCATCATATCCCACACGTGCTCAATTGGGGATAAGTCGGGAGATCTTGGTGGCCATGGTAACAATGTGACAACATTATGTTGAAAGAAGTCTATTGTGACTCTTGCAACATGTGGTCGGGCATTATCTTGTTGGAAAGTTGGATCTGCCAGGGTGTCAAGATAGGGTAAAAGATGGGGTTCTAGAACTTCGTGGATATAACGCTGCGCGTTCATGTTACTTCTGATGAAGATTAAAGGTGACCTGGAACTCCAACAGTGTGATGTCTTTCAACAAAAAACTGTGGATTCCTCCTTTCACCACGTCGCCTTCTAACCCTGGCACGACCATCGTGCATGCCTAAACAAAATCGAGACTCGTCACTAAAGACAATACTGTTCCATTCCTGATCCCAGAGTGACCGTTGTCTGCACCACTCAAAGCGATTACGTCGGTGTTCTCGAGTTAAAGTGAGGACCCAGTGTGGCCGGTATGAAAACAAGCCAAAACTTCTCATTCGTCGGTAAACACTTCGCATGCCAATAGGTCTTCCGTGTTCTGCAAACCATTCATTTGCAATGGACCTGGTAGTGGAGAAACGGTCCCTTAAGGCCAATAATCTTAGGCGGCGATCTTCACGGTCTGTTGTTCTACGGCGGCGTCCAGTGCCCCTTGCTCTTTGCGTACGGCCTTCTCGAAGCCATGCCTGACAACACCTAACCACAGTGTCTACACTTCTTTGCACTCTAACTGCAATAGCCCGAAAAGAAAGTCCAGCTTCCCGAAGTCCCACAATACGGCACCTATCAAACTCACTAAGTTGACGAAATCGTACAGGTCTTCGTACTCTAGGCATCGTAACCGATCGTAAAGGATGTCAAGAACCAAAATCCGCCAACGTTGATTCTTTACTGCGGCTGAAATATTCATTTTTAGAGCGTTAGTGAATTAAAAAAAAGCAGTATAAAAACCGGAATGTCCAACTGATAAGGCTGAAAATTTGTTCACTTGTTATTTACAGTAAGATAAATACATTCACCAACTTTTATTAAAATAAAATCATTTAAACTGGGTGTTCGGATTTATATGTCACTTAGTATATTAGGCAGCCGGACATTATAAAAACCTACAATAACTATATGGGTGGTGTGGACAGAGGAGACCAAAATGTTAGTCTGTATAGAATTTCTATAAGAGGAAAGAAGTGGTACTTCCCTTCATTTGCTCAGTGCGTAGGTATGGCCATTCATAATGCTTGGCAGCTTCATCGGTTACAAGGAGGTAAAATGGATCAACTTGAATTTAGGAGAGGTCTGGCTGGGAACATTCTGGAATCTAATCAGAGAAATGTTAAGAGGGGTCCATCTAAGCGAAACACGAAAGAAAATGCTTATTCTAGATATGATGGGCGCAATCACCTTGTAGTTTATCAAGGGAACCAGCAACGTTGTGGCGAATTCCATAAAAAAGTTCAGTTTCGCTGCAGAAAATGTAGTATTCCACTACATCCTAAAACGTGTTTCGAACAGTATCACACCGAATAGTTATTTGTTTTATGTCTTACAATATGTGTCCTTGAAATAAAATTTGTGCTATCAGCAGGTCATTTTACTACCGTCCTTTTTAAAGAACACCTCGTAACTCTTAGTTAGGGATAAAAAAGTTCATAAGCCAGTTTTGGTTGTTGAAATGGAGTCATTTTACTGTACTCTCACTAAGAAAGCGGCAAATATTGTGAAAAAAAAGTTTCAGTAATATGTGGGTTAATTTTGTGACGGTTTTTCCAAATACTTGACACAGTGGATTTTTTTATAGCCATACGAGCACATATATTTGCTTGAGATGAACCCTGCTCAAGCTCACTAATGATTGAGGACTTTTCGTGTAAAGTGAATGCACGTTTCGCACTTTTCGACATGTTTATAACTCTAATAAATACAAGTTCGAATGCAAACTGCGAAACCAAACCGCCGTAATCGATTGCATCAGCTAAATCTGCTTCGGGCAACTACCAAAATAGCTCGCATATAATGGATTAAAATAGTCCTCTATAAGGGAGTCTATAATATCCAAGGATTTTACATGCAATTATTTATAGGACCTTGAATTGTGTTCATTATATACGGGTTTCAATTGTGCGCAAGTTCATTATAAGTGGATTCCACTGTATTTCGTTTTCCTAAGCCAGACACTATAAGAAATACTAAGCAGTCCATTATAATATACGAGTAGAGTGTCAACACACCTAAACACAGTCTGCTAGGAGGATTCAAGATACTACTCACCCAAGGCTGAAATAACATTTCCCAGTGCCACCAAGCTTCTATTGATATGGGCACCCTCTTTAACTCTGTCCTTTCCAACTGTTGCTGCTCTCTCACTACCTGCTAGGTCCACAAGCCTAAAACAAAATAAATCTCCTTACTCTTTGCAGCAATACTGGGCTCAAACTGCACTAATACAGGTCGTAAGACTTTTACGTCTTGATGATCAATTTTGTGATAAATCTTCATTAGGGAGGGACGTGAAATGTGAAATTAAAAATGAAATTATAATATTAAGTAAAATATGAATAATTTGTTTAAGGAATTGAGTATTCCATTCACTCTGATCCATCGAAATTTTGGAACCTTGTTAGAGTGAAAAGTAGGAATACTAGAACACCGGGAATAATTAAAATAGGTGACATATCAGCAAATGAATTTGCTAGTTATTTCGCTAGTGTTTACTAACAGTCTGATGTAAGTAATCTCAATTTAGAGTTGCCTCGGTTTTCCAACAGTCTGTCTCTGATATATACAGGGTGGCGCATCGAAAACGAAGCAAACGCATTTACTGGCAGCTCAGTTTTTTTTTTGAAAAACGCTCAGACTCGTCGATTTTGTTTTTGAGGGGGACACAAGTTTGGCAAAAAATCACATTAGCACGTGCAGCCCCCTAAGCGGGGGTGACACCACCCCCAAAATCTTAAATGGATAGGGGGGTCGAGTGATACCTTATTTTAAAGGTCTTTCAATTCCCTTTATAATGATATAAAATAGATTAATGTACAGTAGTTTTGAAGATTTATTGATTTAAAGCTTAAAGTAGACTTTAATAGGTACATTTAAAGCTTAAATAAAACTAATATACTAAGTTTAAATGGTTTTATTTTAATAAAACTTGGTGAATGTATTTATCTTACTGTAAATAACAAGTGAAAAAATTTTCAGCCTTATCAGTTGGACATTCCAGTTTTTATACTGCTTTTTTTTAATTCACTAACTCTCTAAAAATGAATATTTCAGCCGCAGTAAAGAATCAAAGTTGGCGGATTTTGGTTCTTGACATCCTTTACGATCGGTTACGATGCCTAGAGTACGGAGACCTGTACGATTTCGTCAACTTAGTGAATTTGATAGGGGCCGTATAGTGGGACTTCGGGAAGCTGGACTTTCTTTTCGGGCAATTGCAGATAGAGTGCAAAGAAGTGTAGACACTGTGGTTAGGTGTTGTCAGGCATGGCTTCGAGAAGGCCGTCCGCAAAGAGCAAGGGGCACTGGACGCCGCCGTAGTACAACAACAGACCGTGAAGATCGCCGCCTAAGATTATTGGCCTTAAGGGACCGTTTCTCCACTATCAGGTCCATTGCAAATGAATGGTTTGCAGAACACGGAAGACCTATTGGCATGCTAAGTGTTTACCGACGAATGAGAAGTTTTGGCTTGTTTTCATACCGGCCACACTGGGTCCTGCCTTTAACTCGAGAAGACCGACGTAATCGCCTTGAGTGGTGCAGACAACGGTCACTCTGGGATCAGGAATGGAACAGTATTGTCTTTAGTGACGAGTCTCGATTTTATTTAGGCATGCACGATGGTCATGCCAGGGTTAGAAGGCGACGTGGTGAAAGGAGGAATCCACAGTTTTTTGTTGAAAGACATGTTCATCACACTGTTGGAGTTATGGTTTGGGGTGCTATAGCTTATGGTTCCAGGTCACATTTAATCTTCATCAGAGGTAACATAAACGCGCAGCGTTATATCCACGAAGTTCTAAAACCCCATCTTTTACCCTATCTTGACACCCTGGCAGATCCAACTTTCCAACAAGATAATGCCCGACCACATGTTGCAAGAGTCACAATAGAGTTCTTTCAACATAATGTTGTCACATTGTTACCATGGCCACCAAGATCTCCCGACTTATCCCCAATTGAGCACGTGTGGGATATGATGGATAGGAGATTGCTCAATTTGCAACGTCCTCCTCAGACTCTAGAAGCACTTCGCGAGGTGGTTGCCTGGAATGAGATACCACAGGAGGACATTGACCACCTGATCAGAAGCATGCCTAGGCGCGTTGGAGAATGCGTAGCACATCAGGGTGCATCCACACATTATTAAAGGTCAAAGGGCTTTGAAGCAGTGCAATCATTTTGAAATTTTTATAATTTACTTCATTAAGTACTTATACAAAATTTTATTAAAATAAAACCATTTAAACTGGGTGTTCGGATTTATATGTCACCTAGTATACATCATCATTAGTGGAGATCAATACATTTGGCAGCAAAATAATTTAAAAATGAAGAATGAACTGACCCGGGCACCTCTTCTACCAATCCATCGATCTGGAAACGTCGTCGAACACGTAATGCGTAATGTGGTGGAGCACCATCCTGTTGGAACATCAACCTATTCGCAATGTATCGCCCCTCATTCTGATTTTCAATTATGGCTGTTAATGCAGGATCTATTGCATCTTCCGGTAATTCAAAATACATTTCACTAGTCAAATTTCCAGATAAGAAAAAAGGACCAACTAAATGATCGCCAAAAATACCAGCCCAAACATTTAATTTTTGTGGCTGCTGTGTATGAACCTCATGATAAATTCTGGGATCAGACCCGGACCAATATCGGCAGTTATGACGATTTACTACGCCATTTAAGAAAAAGGAACATTCGTCGGAAATGCAAGTGTTGAATAGAAAATATTCATCGTTTATAATTCGTTCACTCATATCTTCACAAAATTGTAATCGCCGATCAAAATCGTCTTCATTAAGTTCTTGTACCAGGTGAATTTTCTACGGATGAAAACTATGGGCCTTTAGAATCCGTTGGACATTACGTCGACTAACACCACACACAGTCTCCAATGTGCGGGTACTTAACGTAGGATCTACATAAACTTGCCCTAAAACCCCCACTTCTATTGCTTCGTTCCTTCTTATGGGATCTTCAATGTTGCGTTTTTTATTGGCGAAATTTAGCTACAAGTTCTATTCTCTAGGCGCTGAAGAAAGAAACTAAACCCAAACAAATACACGCATATTGCTCGTGAGTGAGTGTTTAGGCGCAGGAGACATTACAGGACCGCATCAAGATATTATGGGTAGTCATCAAAAATTTCATACAAGATAATTATTATCTTTTACAGTAAATTTCAGTTAGAGATTCACAAATGAGTTAACTACACTTTTTAGTTATTAGTAAGCTGCGCGCACTCATTCAGAAGAGGAACTTGAATCTTCTGAATCGTTTAAATGAATTATTAGAGGTTCAATTTGGGTATCGATGACATTGTCCAAATCCCACATTTTGACCTCAACCTTCTCCCGAACGTGGCGGATACAGTTTTTCCATTCCTCTGCCGTAACTCTATTGACTGCGATGTGAAAGAGATTTTTAACATCAGAAAATGTATAAGTATTATTATTCGACGCCACGTATTGCTTTATGTTGGCCCAAATCAGCTCAATAGGGTTCAGCTCACAATGGTAGGGTGGCAGTCTCAAGACACTTTTATTTTGTTTTGACCATTGTTTCATGTTTTGAGGCCAGCCATTGTTGTATGTTTGCTTTTTTAGTTGCCATTGTGGGAATTTTTTCTATTTTTCTAGAATGGTACGGGGCATTATCCAGTACAATAACAGCGTTATTCTCCAGCTTTAGTAACATTTTGGAGAACCAATTTTCAAAGGAATTGCCGTCCATCTCCTCATGATAGTCCCCTGTCTTTTTTGATTCAAAGGCCCACAGTGCTTCGGGAACAAAGCCGTCTTCACTACCTACGTGACAAATGATCAGCCGTTTGCCTTTTCCTGGAAATAAATTATTCCTTACACTATGGATTGATTAAATTTGAAGGAATGAGGCAATTGAGTTTCATTTAGCTGAATTTAAGAGTCACGGAATGCTGATCAAAAACTGAAAAACGTAGAAAATTGAAGTTTGCAACTTCTCAAAACCCATTCAAAGCAAATTGACTGCACCCAAAAATGATAATAAATTTCAAAATAACGCTTAAAGGAGGGTCGAAGTTTTTTTCCTAATGACTACACTGCGAATGCACCTATTTTTGGAGAATATCACATTATCTGCTATCACAGGATATTATTTGCCCGAATTTATCAAAATTAAATTGCCGGATAGATGAAGGAGCTTACCTGCAGGATTTTTCAATCCAGCCGAAAGACCGTCTAGAAAAGCCTGCCTTGATGATGTTACTGATTTGTCGACCCAAACTTTCGCTTGAGTATGTCCAGCATTCACCCACGTTTCGTCCAAATAGTAAATTTTTCTTTTTTCATCGCGAAACTTCCGAATCTTCCTAAGGTATTCCCTTCTCCACACAACAATTTCTTCTTTCTCTATTAACATACTGTTTCTTCCCCGTTTCAAGAATCGAAAATTAAGTTCCTTCAAAAGTTTTAGGAATGTGGTTCTTTTAAATGATGGAAGATCCTCATCAGCATTAACTAATCTTAATATCTTATCTACTGTAGGTATCTCATTTCGGAAGAAAAAATTATGCACTTTCCTCCTGATGGCAGTTCTGTCAAAGTCATCTACTCCGTCCGTTATCCTTTTTCTTGCAGGATACGGTTTTGGCTCAGAAAGTGAGTGAGTGCTCCTATATTCCTTAATGATCCTATAAACACTGGACCGACATACTCCAGAAATATGTGCTACCTTACATATAACTTCGTCCACGACCAAATCGGGTTTTTCTTGAATTTGGTTTTTGTACATATTTAATATTATTTGTTTTTCATTTGCACTTAAATGTAGCTTCTTAGCCCTTTTTTTGGGTGGGGTTGCGCTGATGTCAACCACTTCGTCGGCTGTATCTGTGTCAGACATCGTATCTTAGGCAATATATAAACAAAACGTTCCACTCGCGAAAAACGAGTATACGCTACTGAATGCGTAATGCGTATGCAATGCAATCCTGTGCGTGAATTAACTGTTAGATGCCTGTCGTGTCATCTACAATCACGTTTACAAGTCCAAACCTGTGCAGATTCGTAGAGCGCCGACGACTGCTAGTGACCTTGAATTTGTCTGTAGATCGATGTTACTCCAGTCAATTTAGGTTCAAAGTGGATGTTTTCTAAACCAATTTGTTGTTCC